ATATTTGAGAAGTTTATGATGTGACAGATTGATGATAGGAAAGAGAAGAACTATAAGGAAAGCCTGAACAGAAAATATACATGGTTTGTAAAATTATATATACTGGACCAAAGTCCAATAGGCCAGAGCCACAGCTACATCCACATAATATTATTTAATGTTGTGCATGTAAGTCGGCCATTTTTATACAGCAAAGAAATAAATAAAACAAGGAAAAAATATATCATTGATGCTTATTAGTATCTACATTTATCTAAGACTATGTTTATATTATGGGATCTCATTGGATCTACATAGACCTTTAGCCTTAACCCTATTTGTTGGGTGTATAAAATATATTACACCCAAAAGTGGATATTACAAAAATAATAATCACTGCATGACTATAATTTGGATTATTTACGCCAGAACAAGCATTGGGCGCTGAAAATAAGATAATCTGGTGACCAAAGGGCACTCAAAAGGCTTTAAATGTAAGGTTGAAGCATTGGTTGAAGTACAGGAAGATTGGAAATTTGTCCACTTACCTGTGAAAGTAGTTAGAACAACCTCATACTCCTGTCCAATAGTAACTTGAGAGAGAGGTATTGGATCATCTTCTATGAAGCCATCAGTAGCTGAATTGAAATCTTGGCTTTGTCTATGAAGAGGTATGAACTCAAAGTAAGAAAAGGTGGGTATAACTGCAAAACTAACATTCTCTGGTGGTGAAGAAGGATCCACGTTCACTCCAATCCAGCTCTCTGTGGATCCATAGTCAGCACTCACCAATGGCAGCTCTTTAGCATAATGCCTTAGTTTTTTCAAGTATGGTTGCATTGATCCTGTCATTATAGAGTACACATACTTAGCATTTGGCCAAAGCTTCGGAATTAGACCAAACCAGCCTTCATCTGCCAACTCCTCACAACTCGTTTCGATCCACGAAGCCAGAAATGGCTTCGGGGTGATGATTTCCAAGACAGCTTTTCGTGTTTTTGAGATGGTAATTCTTGAACTGAGAGTGCCTTCTCTAATGTCATTGCATATTTCTTGCCAAAGCTCTTCAAATGACCTAAGTGCCTCCACTAAGCTATATGCAAAAGTGGAGGTTATGAACTCTACTTGATCAGAGAAGAAGAGGCCAAGAAGGAGGTGACAGTATGTGGATTGTTTGTAGTCTCCACTTGAAATTACTTCTGTTGGGCTGCAAGTGAATGACTTGGTCATTTCCTGTTTGATTTTGAACTCCTCACTTGCATAATAGTGGGTTGTGGCTGTTCCTACTGTTAGGCCTCCCTTTGTTTTGAATTGTTTGCTGCTGTATATGAACTCTAGGATTCTTCCTCCTCCTCTTGTTGGATAAATTCTGGGACCATCATCCAAAGAAATACAAGACTAGAACCAACCATATATACAAGTTTCTAAACTTCAAGAAAACATGAAAAAAAAGGGGAACACACGAAAATTGATACAAAGAAAGGCATGATTCTTGATTAAAACAATAGAAAGAATTTCAGGAATCCCAAAGCAGAAACTTTACAATTGTTTAGAGAGAGAGAGAGAGAGAGGATCGAACCTTGATCTATAAGCTGCTGCCAACCTAAAAATTTGAAGAGTGGTTTTGGAGCTGTGGCGAGTAAAGAGTACGTACTTCTTTCGCCCCTCTGTCGTTCCAGAACTACAAAAATAGCCATAAACAACATTGAAATAGTTAAAGAAGTCTCAAATGAATCAACCATCTGATACAATGAATATTTCCTTTCTGTTCAATATCAAACAAACATCCTTCTATTTTGTTTATGTTTATAAGTTAATTTTTCTTGCTTGCATTGTCATCTACTTGGTTTGGTTCTCAAGTTGGTGATTTTACAGCAAACTAAGAGTCGTAGGAGAACCATGAATTTACCCGGAAAATTGCCAGGTAAACCTAGGAATAAAGAGAGAGAGAGTGCCAAAGAAAAGAGTGGGTAAGGGGCTGTATTTGTACCTTAACGAGAGAGTTGTAANCTTTCTGTTCAATATCAAACAAACATCCTTCTATTTTGTTTATGTTTATAAGTTAATTTTTCTTACTTGCATTGTCATCTACTTGGTTTGGTTCTCAAGTTGGTGATTTTACAGCAAACTAAGAGTCGTAGGAGAACCATGAATTTTCCCGGAAAATTGCCAGGTAAACCTAGGAATAAAGAGAGAGAGAGTGCCAAAGAAAAGAGTGGGTAAGGGGCTGTATTTGTACCTTAACGAGAGAGTTGTAATGGGTTTTGGAGTGAGTAAAGGAGATGTGTCTCCATCAGCTATTCTCTGGATATAAGGCTCCAAATCTGCATGGGAGGCAAGAGGAACCATAGAAGTATAAAAAGATTCCAAAGCTCTTTCCTCGAAGTCATGAATATTTATCTCTCCCAACCATTTCTTGAGGTACTCCACACCACAGTTCAGTTCAAGAATCTGCCGGAGCGTCTGCGTTTGAACTTGACTGGCGTTCTCGGCTATGTCCTCGAACCAACTGACAATGCCAGAGTATTCGTCCCTCTTATTGCATACAGCTGGTTCCATTACTCTAATGGGTGCTTTTGTATCAGTAGCAGTACAAATAATGCTTCTCTTTCTCTCTCTCTCTCTTTGTCTCCCTCTCCACATATAGAGAAGAAGAGGCTCCCACAATGAATTATTCTCTTGGGTATCTATCATGAGAATTGTCCACATATATAGAAAAAGAAAGGGAGCCCACAATAAATTATCATTCTCTTAGAATCTATCGAGAAAATATTCCTCCATTGCAAAGCTCAAGAAGCCTCATAATATTTCAGATCAGAATCATCACCAGGGTTAGTTTATAAACCACATACCTTCTAGTATCATTCCCGCCGGGGAGATTCTTTGCAATGGATGGAGGCGAATGATGACACTTGGCACGATATGTGTGTTCCTCTTTCGTTACCAAGTTAAATACCCCATTTTAATGGACCAGTGGTTACCGTGTTAGGTACACTATTGTTCATCTCCTTGGCACTAAGGTCTAATCATTGTAATACATATAGACACAAACTTGTNACTCAAGAAGCCTCATAATATTTCAGATCAGAATCATCACCAGGGTTAGTTTATAAACCACATACCTTCTAGTATAATTCCCGCCGGGGAGATTCTTTGCAATGGATGGAGGCGAATGATGACACTTGGCACGATACGTGTGTTCCTCTTTCGTTACCAAGTTAAATACCCCATTTTAATGGACCAGTGGTTACTGTGTTAGGTACACTATCGTTCATCTCCTTGGCACTAAGGTCTAATCATTGTAATACATATAGACACAAACTTGTAAATGTAAGTTTAAATCTTCTCATAGTATAAAATTCGAGTTTAACCAATTAACGTAATTCATATCTAGATGTATTCATATGAGATTTGTATTACAATAATAAGTCAAAGAACATATGGTTAGGATGATTTCTAAAACCCACAACTTCCTCCACTCTGTTTAACTTAACATTAACCTTTTTACTTACTTATTTGTTATTTATTGTGCCCAATTGGATGACACCTGCCAAGCTATTTGTGTTCGAACTATAGATCAAAATGAGGCTTAGTACAAGGGACAGGATCCAACGTTTTGCTGCCCATATGGGTCTAGAGTGTACTGTCTGCAGGATTGCTAATGAATCCCACAACCACCTATTCTTTGAGTGCCAATTCTCTCACAACATCTTGTCACACCTCATGCATCTGAATGGAGAACAATGATACATAAAAACTTGGCAGCAAGTTCTGCATATCACTATTGGCAAGTGGAAAGGCAAGTATCTCCAAAGAGTCTTACAAAAACTAACCCTACAAGTTGTGTACTATATATATATGGAGAGAGCGAAATACCAGGATACATCTCAACAATTCCAAGGACCATAGAGCCCTGCTGTAAATCATCTTGCAAACCATTAGGGACAGAGCAGCTTCTCTGAAGTTTTGGAACTCCCAAAAACCAAAGACTTCTTCAAGCAGGGCAACTGACAAGCAATTGTCTCTTATGAGGTAGTGTGTGGGTCCTTTGGTAGTCTAGAAGTCATTTTGTAAAGTATCTGTTTGGGGTAGCTAGCAAGTCTCTGCACCCCTTACAGAATTTGTTTGGTGTCAAATATGTATTTTGGTGTGAAAAGATGATGTTCTCTAACTATAAGAGCATGAAGATTATTCTTTCATCTTACCTCAAAGCATGTGATTTGTGGGATTTGATTGAACAAAATTTAAGGAGTAACTTGCTTAGAAGAATCTGAGAAAAGAAAGAGGAAAAGACACTCGGATTTATCAAGAAGACAATTCATCCTAAGATTTGGAAGAATGTAGGAGATTCAAGATATCCACATCATGTTTGAAAGATGACTAAGGGTGTAGTATCCAAACATGAAGGTGAATTCTTACCCAATGAGTATTGGGTCCAATGTTTGAAGAGGATGAGTGTATAAAAGAGAGTGTAGAAAGGCTAATGAATCTCACAACCGCCTCTTCTTTGAATGTGATTACTCCTCTAAAGTTTGGAACTCCATTCTTCTTTAGTGCAATCAACATGGACAACAAAGGCAATGGCATGATTTTATTGATTGGGCTACTCAGCAATGGAAAGACAAGAAGATGACCACTATTATCTTGAAGATCAGTCTCTCTAATACTGTGTATCATCTTTGGAAGGAAAGAAACGCAAGAATCTTTAGAAACCAAACTGCTGAATCTCATATTCTCATCAAGATGGTTAAGCAGTCTATTAGGGAGAGGCTTCTAACTTTGAAGTTCAAGCGTAGCCATCTTCTCCCATCTCAATTTTCCCCTTCGCCATAGACTCATTTGATTCAACCTTCATTCTTTCCACTACCTTCCCACCATGCGAACCAACCAAACACTTNGTAGCCATCTTCTCCCATCTCAATTTTCCCCTTGGCCATAGACTCATCTGATTCAACCTTCATTCTTTCCACTACCTTCCCACCATGCGAACCAACCAAACACTTGAAGTTACTATCTCTAAAATGTCAGCTCAGAAACCCACTGGAACTTCCTCAGAAGTTTCCAAAGTTTCAGAAGCTTGCACAACCACTAATAGTACAACCTCTACATCACCTCAAAGTAGTCCATGTCTTAAAGGTGGGGAAACAAAATTTAATGACATCCCAAATGGTTCTACAATTTGCGTAAGAATGAAGAGCCAAGCTCAAGTTAGTTTGAAACACAATACTCCTGTCGAGGTTCAAGATTTAGAAGAGGGAGAGCTTGTTCAAAACACTAAGCAACAAAATGCATTTCTAGAGAATAGGAATGCTGTAAAAACAACACTTGAAATTCGAGTACAGTCACAAGAAACTTGTAAATATTTAGCAAAAATGAAGAACAAGGTGTTGGGATATAACAACAATTTAAATTCACTAACAAACACATACAATCGAAGAACAAATCAAGAATATAAAGCAATAAGAAACAAGAAAGAACAAGATACAAATTTTACGTGGTTCGATAATTTGTCTACGTTCACGAAACTGCAGGAATTTCACTATTGAGAGAGTTGAATACAGAGAACGGCTGTATAATTTACCATATTAACCCTAATCACCAAAACAACGGATTTTATATGTCTTACGCACTGGACTATATAACGAGCCCAAAAATTTTTCTTAGTTGCGTTGCCCTCGAACCTCCACGAGGCTTGTCCATGAGCGCTACAGTTTGGGCCTATCAGCACAAGCCTTATCTCCATGAATTAAGCCTCAAAAAAATTTTCATTAAAAAATTACATGACATTACTTCAGATCGGGTCATCATCCAGATCACATATACAAATTAGACTTCACAAAAAAACAACACAAGGTGGTACTAACGCGCCACTAGGTGAGAAAAGATCTAATGATAATTCCACTTCCCAAGAACCTATTGTGCCGTCAAAACAACGAACAGTCTATTACTCCTATGGGTAAGGCTAGCTTGCCAGCAAATACCCCCTCCCAATATCATCATCGGTTGGTGAAAATGTAAAAAGATTGCACAAGCCACATGGAACAGTGTGTTGAAAAGAGGAATTGCTATGGATCCGGGCCATGGAACTCCAACTATGACTCCCACAACCACATGAAATTGACATATTTTGAACCTCAAAGAGGAGAGACCAAAATAGTGGTGGCGCCACCACCATCGGTTGTAGAAATGGGTAGCAAGGATTGGGAAAATAACTTGGTTGGTTACTTCATTGATAAAAATTTGCCTTTTTCAGTGGTTAAGATGATTGCCCAAAGGATGTGGAATGCACAGGGCCTCACAGTGGTGCTTGCTAATGAGCAAGGTTTCTTCTTTTTCAAATTTGTTGATGACAACTCAAGAACTAGAGTCTTAGAAGATGTCCCCTGGTTATTCTCTGGTAGAATTATGGTCCTCAAGAAATGGCAACCTAGAATGCTTCTGAAGAAGGAAGCACATACTAAAGTACTAATTTGGTGAAATTATATAACTTTCCACTTGAATATTGGAATGAAGAAGGCCTTAGCTATATTTCCATTGCTATTGGGAAGCCACTTTATATTGATGGGCTAATAGAGACACAACAAAGAATTAGCTTTGCTAGGGTATGTGTGGAGATTGATGCTGCTCANACACATACTAAAGTACTAATTTGGTGAAATTATATAACTTTCCACTTGAATATTGGAATGAAGATGGCCTTAGCTATATTTCCATTGCCATTGGGAAGCCACTTTATATTGATGGGCTAACAGAGACACAACAAAGAATTAGCTTTGCTAGGGTATGTGTGGAGATTGATGCTGCTCAAGTTCCCATTGATTCCTTTGAATTGAAAATGCAAGGTACCCAACTTGATCAAGAAGTGGATATTGTAGAAATTATGGTCCAACATCAATGGAAGCCTAAAACTTGTGTTAATTTTTGGCTACATTAGTACAAATTATGCAAGAAATCAAGAGTGGAAAAGAAAAGAGAAACAAGCCGACAAAGGCAAAGAGATAGCCTCCACTGTAGAAGTTATCAAAGAGAAGGAGAGTGACGAGGTAGATCAAAGAAGTGTTGATCAAGGAAGCACAAACAATCAAGTGGTGGTTAGTGAGACTTCAACTCCTATCAAAGAGATTCATAANGAATTATGCAAGAAATCAAGAGTGGACAAGAAAAGAGAAACAAGCTGACAAAGGCAAAGAGATAGCCTCCACTGTAGAAGTTATCAAAGAGAAGGAGAGTGACGAGGTAGATCAAAGAAGTGTTGATCAAGGAAGCACAAACAATCAAGTGGTGGTTAGTGAGACTACAACTCCTATCAAAGAGATTCATAACACCACCCCTGATCCTCAGGTAACTACATACATCACTACTAGCAACAAATATGATAATCTTGTTATTGAATTGCAAGGTCCTGTGCAGTTAGATTTGGAAAAATCAGCTTCTCATGAAACAAGTGTATTGGCTACAAAAATTAAGAACATTGATGGTATACCAATTAGGCAACTAAGGAAAAAACACAAGTCNACAACTCCTATCAAAGAGATTCATAACACCACCCCTGATCCTCAGGTAACTACATACATCACTACTAGCAAGAAATATGATAATCTTGTTATTGAATTGCAAGGTCCTGTGCAGTTAGATTTGGAAAAATCAGCTTCTCATGAAACAAGTGTATTGGCTACAAAAATTAAGAACATTGATGGTATACCAATTAGGCAACTAAGGAAAAAACACNAATCAGCTTCTCATGAAACAAGTGTATTGGCTACAAAAATTAAGAACATTGATGGTATACCAATTGGACAACAAAGGAAAAAACACAAGTCACCAAATAGGCCACCATCCACCAAGACATAAATGATCAATTGCATGTTGGAATGTTAGGGAACTGAACTCACCCCCTAAACAATTGGAGGTTCAAAAATTTATTTTTGAACAATAACTGGATTTGGTTGGAATAATTGAGACCAAAGTCAGAACTGTTAATAAGGGTAGCATTTTGATAGCTGTCTTCAGAGATTGAGACTATTTTGATAATTATTCCAGTCATATTTTTGTTAGGATTTGGGTTGGTTGGAACCCAAATATCCTCAAGATAACCAAGATAGAAGAAATGGATCAGGTAGTACACTGTGAGGTTCAACATCTAGAAAGTAGGATTGTGTTCCTAGTTTCCTTCATATATGGGACCAATGATGACAGAGAAAGGAGGAGGCAGTGGAGTAATCTAGAGTATCATGCTAGAAACAATATCTCTAGACCATGGACAGTTTTGGGAGATTTCAATGTGGTAAGAACTCTGCAAGAAATTGAAGGGGAGAGCAATAGAAGAACAAAGGCCATGGAAGAATTTGAAGAATGTATTCAAAATTCTGAAATTGATGACCTTAGCTTCTTAGGAGTTCTCTTCACTTGGTGTAACAGAAAAGACCCTCAAGATTGCACAATTAAAAACTTGACAAAGTCNCTTCACTTGGTGTAACAGAAAAGACCCTCAAGATTGCACAATTAAAAACTTGACAAAGTCATGATAAATAATGAGTGGAATCTGCTATTTACAAGATCATCAATTGAATTTATTACCTCCAGTGTCTCAAANATGAGTGGAATCTGCTATTTACAAGATCATCAACTGAATTTATTACCTCCAGTGTCTCAGATCATACCCCTGCCGTTGTCAAGTTGGGAGAGGGAGCAAACCAAGGAAATGTCCATTCAAGTTTTCAATTTTATGACTGAAAGAAGGGATTTTCTTGATATTGTCAATAATGCGTGGAAAACAATGTGAGGGGAACAAAGTAATTCCAAGTAAGCCAAAAGCTTAAACTACTGAAGTATGAATTCAAGAAAATCAACAGAACTCAAATTGGTGATGTTACTGGTAGAGCTAATGAAGCAAGAAATGCACTAGCCGAATGCCAGAGGAAACTTGATGAAAAGTCGTTGGACCATGACCTTAGGACTCGAGAGAAGGAGTTGATTAGGAAATTCTTTGAGGCAATCAAAATTGAAGAAGAATTCTTAAGACAAAAATCCAGAATTCAATGGCTCAAAGCTGGTGATCAAAACACTTCTTTTCTCTTCAGAGCCATCACAAACAATAGGAACAAGTCTAGGATAACTACTATTAAAAGACAGGATGGAACCATCGTTCAAGGGGACTTGCATATCAAAGAAGAAACAATCAATTATTTTCAAAATTTGTTTAGAAGCAACGGTCATCAGTCTACTGCTAGGCAAGCAACAATAGAGACCTTATCCAACACACTATTTTAGAGGATCAAACTAGAATGCTATGCAAAGAGGTTCCAGGAGCTAAAATTAAAGTGGTATGTTTTTCTCTCCATGCTAATAAAGCCCCTGGCCCATATGGATTTAAGGGATGTTTCTTTCAGACGGCTTGGTCAATTATTGGGGAAGATATTATTTCTGCTATTCAGGAATTCTTTATCACTTGTGAAATGCTCAAGGAAATCAACTCTACAATCATCTCACTTATTCCAAATGTGCCAAACCCCACTACTATGAGTGACTACAGGCCAATTTCTTGTTGCAACACCCTTTGTAAGGTTATTTCAAATATCATTGCCAATAGAATTAATCCATTTTTGCTTGGGCTTATTAGTCCTTTTCAATCTGGTTTTATAGCTGAAAGAAGAATAGGGGATAATATACTCTTAGTCCAAGAGCTTATGAAGAATTACCATAAGGATGATGAGCCACCTAAGTGTGCAATAAAAGTGGATCTAATGAAGGCTTATGATATACTTGAATGGGGCTTCTTGATTGATACTTTAGCAGCTCTCAAATTTCCTCTGATGATGATCAACTGGATTAAAGCATGTATTACATCACCTAAGTTTTCTGTCTGTGTTAATGGTGAATTAGTTGGTTATTTCCCTAGTCAAAGGTCTTAGGTAGGGGGGATCCTATGTCCTCATTTCTTTTTGTCATTGTAATGGAAGTTCTGACATGGATCCTAATAAGAAAAATCCAAACAACTCAAGGGTTCAAATATCACTGAAGATGCAACAAACAAAGAATTGCTCAATTGAGCTTTGCAAATGACTTTATCATGTTTTGTCATGGTGATATTACATTTGCTGAAGTGTTGAAGGCTTCTTCTTTGGAGACTTTTGAAGATCTTTCAGGCCTTAAAGCTAATCCACTAAAGAGCAATATCTTTCTTTCTGGAGTCTCAGAGGGCCAGCAGCTACAATTAGTGGAGTGTTTTTGATACCCCATGGGCAATATACCAATTAGGAAGGTTACAACTCATCCATTCATTCCTCTCGAATATTCAAATCTTCTGGTCTACTCACTTGATGCTACCCAAGAGAGTCCTTAACAATGTTGAACAGAAACTAAGAGCTTTTCTTTGGATAGGAGCTGAGCTTAGGACAGTTGGAGCTAAAGTATAATGAAAGGATGTGTGCCTACCAAAACAAGGTGGATTGGAAGTTAAGAATCTAAAGGCTTGGAATAAAGCATTAATGCTCAGACACCTTTGACATTTAATCTCTAATGAAAACAACATTTGGTCTAAATGGGTGAGGGACTGTTATCTGAAAGGAAGAAGCATTTGGACTGTCAAACCCCCACAAATTTGTTCATGGAATTGGAGGAAACTATTGAAGATAAGGGATTTTGCTAGACCTTTCTTTCTCCATATTATTGGCGATGGGAGAGAAACATCACTATGGTTTGATAATTGGCATCCTGCAGGACCACCAATACTTAGATGGACTCCTATAATTATGTACAATTCTGGCCTCAACAAGAATGCTAAAGTATGCCACATTATACATGGCAATCAATGGAGATGACCTAGGGCTAATGCTAGAAACAACAGAGAGTTGCTACAAATAGAGGTATCTATGCCAACCTGTTCTCCTAGACCTAGAATGAAGGATGTAGTTAAATGGTTGCTAACCCCCAATGGCTCCTTCTCCTCTTCTTCTGCCCTAGAGGAATTAAGGTATAAACAACCTATGGTTCCCTGGTATAAGCTTCTATGGTTTAGTTAATGTATACCAAAGATGAGTTTCATACTTTGGCTTGCCTTTAAATGCAGACTTTCAACCAAGGATCGTATTAATAGCTATATGCAAAGTGTGGATTTAATTTGTGTCTTGTGTAGGGTAGCTCCTATAACACACTATCATTTATTCTTTGACTGCACCTACTCAGAAAGGATCTGGAAACATGTACTAAAGAAGTGCCACCAGTCTTGGCAACAATTACCTTGACAAGATTTTATTATCTAGTCAGCCAACAATTGGAAGGGGAAGAATCTTGCCACTGTGATCAAGAAGCTTTGTCTTGCTGCAACAATATATATGATATGGAATGAGAGGAACCAAAGAATATTCAAGAATCAGTAGAAGGATCCTATGATAGTACAAGAAGTAATCATTAATACTGTCAGGAACAAATTAATGTCTCTGAAGATTAAGGAAGATATAGAGAATAAAAGACTTGCTCACTCGTGGCATCTGCCCAATTCTCTTTTTGTTTATGATGTAGATTCTATGCTAATTACATAGAATGTTTTTGTTAAAATATTTGGAGAATACCAAAAGTAATTAGCATTCTCTTCAGATTTTCTCTGTTTTTGTTTGTGAATGGAACTTGTTTTGCAAGTTTTAGGCAGACAAGTGATGCTCTTACTTGTAAATTCTCCTTAGATATCAATACACTGTTTACAAAAAAAAAAAACTTTGAGCTTATTTTAGTTTATCTTTTGAGCAAGGTATATATATGCACGATTACAAGTACATAATGTATATAACAAATTGCATCCAGTTCATATATACTAAATAGGAATGAAACATTCTTTATTTTTTCTTTTTCTTTTTTCTTGGAAAGCAAAATAAAATCCATTAGTATCTAATATGATGTACATGTGGGTTGGATGTCCTAAGCATGAGGGGTGCTTAATCAGTGATAAAGTACCCTTTACAGAGTTCACAAAATATCCAACGTTGAATTGGCTCATTATGAAATTATTCTCATCCTAGCCTTAGCAATCCCGGTATGTTTTACCTACACATGATTTTTGCATATATTATTGTTGGAAAGAGGTTAACTGTAGACAGCCTAACCCTCAATTTGAAGAGATTAAGGGTTTGTTTAGTTTGTGTTTCAGATACACATATTCAAAAACTATTTTTAGGGAGAGAATTCGAAAATTGTTTTTGGTGTTTTTTTGTCGCAAAACTTGTTTGATTATATAATTCCAAAAACAGTTGTGCAAAACAAAAAATAGAAAACCTGTTTGGACAATAAGACAGAAAATAATGAAAATAGAGATGTTGTTTGGATTGAATGTTTCACAGGAAAACATTTCAATATGTTAAACTTGATAAAAATTAACATAAAAGCATATTACAATTAAAAAAAATAATATAAACATCAATGTTCTACTCATACAATTATATTACAAGTTCTAAAATAATACAAACCATTGTTCATATATAAAAGTTCCGCATTATATTACAACGATAGTGGTGATCACTTCTCCACCGTGTTGATCACAAGTAAAAACAAGAAGACAAAACACAAAATGACATTACAACCATAACATACAAAAATGAGCCAACTCTTAGGATCGACAATAGAGTCATAAAGGTCTTATAGCATTATCCATGTGCTGTACAATTTATCCCAAAAAAAAAAATACCATTAACATGTATTCCAATCAACATACTACATAACTGAAACACACCATGTAGCTCATGTCATCACACAAAAAATATAGAATAATGCTAAATGGACTTAAAAATTAGGCTTGATAATTACAATCATTAAATATGTAATGAGTCATAATAAATACTAGTACCCACAGTGAAATCAAT